CCTCAACATCCACCTCCACCCCAACATCCATCTCCACCTCAACATCCATCTCCAAACATCCATCTCCACCCTCAACATCCACCTCCCCCCTCAACATCCATCTCCACCCTCAACATCCACCTCCACCCTCAACATTTACTTCCTCCACCACAGGTAAGATACGTGGGTAGAAATTGACGTCAGGTAAACGCCAGATAGTTATCAACAGGTGACCTCCCTAACCAGGTCGCTTGGAACAACCTTTCTTCAACCTCTCTCTCTCTCTCTCTCTCTCTCTCTCTCTCTCTCTCTCTCTCTCTCTCTCTTTCTCTCTCCAGTTTATGCCTGTTTCTTATCGTTGTCATCATTAAGGTAAAATTCATTTCCTACTTTCCATTTCTTCACAGAGCCACGAGCCATAACACTCACAAGGTGATTAACATTTAGTTGATGTCCATTATTGATGTTTTTGTTTCCTTAATCATAGTAAAATAATATTGGAACGCGTGATTCATCCCAAGTTGATGTTCTAGTTTCCTGTACGCTCTCTGTGTCTGTATGTCTTTGTGTCTGTCGGTATGTGTGTGTGTGTGTGTGTGTGTGTGTGTGTGTGTGTGTGTGTGTGTGTGTGTGTGTGTGTGTGTGTGTGTGTGTGTTTGTGTGTATGTGTGTGTGTGTGTGTCTATCTGTTTGTCCGCCTCACACCTCCCAGGGACATTTTTCTCTCCTATCCACCTTGACATCATTACTTCTCTCTCTCTCTTTCTCTCTCTCTCTCCACCTCACCTCGTCCACCTCACAGGTACACTCACCTCTCCTACCCACCTTGGCATCAATACCCAGGGCACTCAGACAGGCGAAGCAGGTCTTGGTGGTGTGCAAACCTCCACCCACCTGACCTACTGGTACCACTGCAGTGTCCTCGGCGGGTGGAGAGAGAGAGAGAGAGAGAGAGAGAGAGAGAGAGAGAGAGAGAGAGAGAGAGAGAGAGAGAGAGTTTACGTACGTGTGTTAGTTGGTTAGGTGATATTAGACTCACGTACTCGCTAAAACATTCTGAGGTGAGACGATGTATGTCTGTCTACTGATGACCACAGTAATGACAAAGTTGTTTTCTTATTCTTAAGCCCTACCTGAAGATAGTTTCATTTACCTTCTATTGTTTTTGTTTTTTTTCAAAGCGAGTGTTGTTTTTCTTAAGCAAATGGTGAGAAGAGGATTAAGAGAGGTGGAGTGAGTGAGACAAGATGCCGATAAAGATGGACAAATGACCCGTCGAGTCATTGCAAAGTCGAATTTATCTAAGATATTGTTTCTTTTTATTTAATTACAATAAAAAAAAATAAGGAAGAATGTATTTATGTTGATGGGCTTAATGTTAAGTCATAGATGCTGTTGGTCAGTGAGTGAGGCCATGAGTTTGTTCCTTGTCAATGTGAGGTAAAGTAAGGTAATGTTCCTCTGGCTGTAGCACAACATATGGGATAGTCTCAGGTATAGGGAGGACAACAGGAGTATTAATAACTCTGATACATGAGGCGGATGGCTGTATCTTGTACTACTTCTCTTTAATTGTGTGTGTGGGAAGGACGGGGGTTAACAAGACGTGATAATTAACCAATGAATAGGTTGTGTGTGTTAAACTAATGTGAAATTAACTTGCCTCTCTGTAATATTGTTCCCATAACTTTGGATACCTGAAAACATCCAACTGGTTCTCTCAAGATACAGTAACATTAACTTAGAAATTTTTCTTAGACTTTGCTTAAACTAAATGCAGTAATATGTTCTCTAATCACAGTTACAGAGGAAATATTACGACTCTCAAAGACCCTGACGTCACGTTGGCTCCCCTGTGTGTGTTTTGACCCATGACTATACGGTACTTCTTCAAAACATATTTTCCTCAGATTACTGTACAATAGGTCACGACCCAGGGGTGGGGACCGACCCATAACCCCCGGGGTATTGCCTCAGGACAAGGACACTTCACTTGTGACCGGTGGAGAATGTCAGACGTCACGCTTTCACTATTTCCTGAAGAAGGTTGTGGCCAAGGTGGCGTTGAGGGAGACGTAGGGGTGGAAGGTGGTAGTGGGGGAAGGGGTGTAGTGGAAGGGGGTGGTGGAGAGGGGGTGTAGTGGAAGTGGAGAAAGGAAGGGGTGAGATAGTGTGGGTGTTGGTGATGGTGATAATATCAGTGATGGTGATAGTGATCAGGGTGGTGGTGGTAGTGTTTCTGGAATGGTGGTGGGTATGTAGGGCAGGGGGAGGGAAAGGGCCAATGGTGTGTGGAAGAGAGGGAGGGTGGAGGGAAAAGTGGAGGAAAGGTGAAGGGTACTGATGGGATAATACTGGTGGTAGTAGTGGTGAAGGAGAAGTGAGAGAGTGGGTGGTAGGGTGGTGAAGGGTGGTGGGCGGGTGGGTAAGTGGGATGGGGGTGGGAGGGTCAGGAACGGGTTACTGGTAAGAGCGAGAGTGAGGGTAGGCGCTGGAGGATGATGGGAAGTGAGAGTGGAATTTGTGGAATGAAAGTAAAAGTCCCTTAAGGAGAGAGAGATAGGTAGACAAAGAGCTGGAGCGAGAACAATAGATATACAAGGGAAGAGAGAGAGAGAGAGAGAGAGGGGGGGGGGGGTATGGAGGGTATTGACAAATCCTATTAATGTTAATGGTAATAATAACAACAATAAGAACCTCAGTGAATACATTAACCCCTTAAATATGATGCTAACTCCCTGGATAGAGACGTTAACCTCATGAATAAATGTAATTTTTAACCTCTTGATTATGACGACTTAATCCTTTAAGTTAAATGAGTTAATACCCACGAGTACGTTGTCTTAGTAACTTAACTGTTGGCCTTAACGATTGTCTGCTCCCTTGAGAACGATGACATTCTACTCAGGAGGTTAAGTCATCGTACTCAGATGGTTACAGAAGAGGTCAAAAGGAAAAGTATTTTATCTGAGAGCTGCTTACAGGTTCCATGTCTTCTGTTATTGACATACTGTATTCACATCACATGAAGGGAGAGATGATGCCGGAGAACTAACACCTCTCCCTCACGTGATGGGTTTTGTCTGTAGTCTGTGTCTGTCTGTCTGTTTATCTGTCTGTCTGGCTGAAGGAGCATACAGATCGGAATTTTTTATACCTCGTCGTCTGTAAACCGTCTGGCAGTGAACACGAGGCCAGTAAGAGGCCCGGCTCGCTATAGTCTATGATATTAAACTCCATTCATTACAGATAATAATGTAATTGTTTAAATAAGGATCCACCATCTAAAGAAGGTCAATAGATAAAAATATAGTCAATACCTATTATTTTAAGACGTAATTGTGATCGTGTGATGTGATGTTTGAGTATTGTATCAAATGAAAGAATATTGTTTAAAGCCTATATAGATTTACTTAAGTCACCCAAACAAAAAATATTAACGTGTAAATATCCTGATTTTTTTATACTGCCTTGTTGAGTCTTTGTGGGTCCTTTTTTATTGTTTGCAGTAACCTAAGGTGATTGTTTACAGTAACCTCAGGTGATTGTTTACAGTAACCTAAGGTGATTGTTTACAGTAACCTCAGGTGATTGTGTACAGTAACCTCAGGTGATTGTTTACAGTAACCTCAGGTGATTGTTTACAGTAACCTCAGGTGATTGTTTACAGTAACCTCAGGTGATTGTTTACAGTAACCTCAGGTGATTGTGTACAGTAACCTCACGTGATTGTTTACAGTAACCTCAGGTGATTGTGTACAGTAACCTCAGGTGATTGTGTACAGTAACCTCACGTGACACCAAGCTTGAGGTCTAGCTTAGGTTATTTTTTCAACTACTTTGTTTACACTGAACACTTCAAGACTATAGAACAAAAATCAATTATGTTCAAGTATTTAGCCATTGGATGAACAGTAGTTAAAAATCACAGTGATATAAAGTAGATTCTAGAGGGACTAAACTCCTAACAGAAATAAATAAAGGCACAAGTACACAAATAATCTAGAACAGAAACTCATTTATGGCAGGTGAGGCACAGTTGTTGGGGGACAGGTAAGGAGGGTGGGACAGGTAAGGAGGGTGGGACAGGTGAGGAGGGTGGGACAGGCAAGGAGGGTAGGACAGGTAAGGTGGGTGGGACAGGTGAGGAGGATGGGACAGGTAAGGAGGGTAGGACAGGGGAGGGTGGGACAGGTGGGAGGGTGGGACAGGTAAGGAGGGTAGGGACAGGTAAGGGGTGGGATAGGTAAGGAGGACAGGTGGGAGGGTGGGACAGGTAAGGAGGATGGGACAGGTAAGGAGGTTGGGACAGGTAAGGAGGGTGGACAGAACAGGTGTAGAACAGGTGTAAACTCTTGGGTATACATGTGTGTGTGTGTGTGTGTGTGTGTGTGTGTGTGTATAATTAAACTGAATACATATACATACAAAAATCCAAAGAAATAGATACATAAAAAATACACAAGTATAAATGTATATACTGGACGTAATAATAGTTCTCAAACATCATCTTTTGTTACGTCATGCACCACTTAGCTTACACAACACTCACAAAAAGTTCACCAATAATAACACTCGCATCATCACCATTATCTTCTTCACCATGTTCAAGTTCATCTCTCATTTACCTGTTCATTTTCTTCATTTGTCTTCTTTACCTTCCTACTCTTTGTCTGTCTATTCGTGCTTATCTGTATCCATCTTCCCATATCTTATCGGTCTATCTCTATTATCAGTCTATCTCTATTCTCGTGTATGTTATTTTTCTTGTCTTTTATTTTATTTCTCTCCCTCTCTCTCCCTCCCTCCATCTCTTTTTCTCTCCCTATCTTATTCATTTCATTTCTCCTCTCTCACTCTCTTATTCCTCTCTTTCTCTCCCACCCATACTTTCTCATTCTCAAATTCTCACACTCCCTCCCACACTCTCTCCCTCACAACTCTCTCCCTCACAACTCCCTCCCTCCCACACTCTGTCTCCCTCACACTCTCACTCGCCGTGTGTATGTATGTGTACTCACCCAGGGCGGCGCAGGCCAGGAGACACACGAGGAGCTTCATGTTGGGGGTGTTGACGGGGCGGGTGTCGTGGCAGAACTACAGTCCTCACCGGCCATCCTGCGCCTCTTAGGTGAAGGGGAAGGAGGGGAGGGTGGAGGAGGGAGTTGGGTGAGGGTAGGGGGTAGGCTGGAGGAGGAGGAGGTGGTGTCTGTGAAGCAAGGGGGAGAGAGGGGGGGGGTTTGGCGGGAGGAGGGTGACCGGGAGGAAAAGGGGGTTATGTTTGACCTGGCAGGTGGGAGGTAAAGTGGTTGACGTGGAAGGGGGGTGAGAGGGTAGTGTAGGCGCAGGAGGAAGTGGAGGGAAGAGGTAGGGAGGACTGTGGAGCAAGGGGACAAGGGTGGGGGTGGGGGATGGTATGAGAGAGGGAAATGGTAGCTAATGGGGAATGGGAATAGGATGAGAGGAGGATGGGGAGACAAGACGAAAAGAGTAGGGGGATATTTGACTTGGTAGGTTGGAGGTGGGGGAGGGAAGGATAGGGAAGGTAGGAGGTTAGTTAGGGTGGGGGGAGGATATTTGACCCATCTGGAAGAGGAGGAGTTGAGAAGACAGGGGAGGAGAAGTAGTTAGGGAGGGGTGGGGAGAGGGTAGTTAGTGGGGGGATTGTAGTGAGGATGAGTTGAGAGCGGAGGAGAAGAAGAGGTTGGATAGAGGAGAGAGAGGAAGAAGAATAAGGAGGGAGGGAAGAAAGGAAGAGAAGGAAGAGGGGAGGAGAAGGGGATAAAGGGAAGGGGAAAGGGAAGGAGGCTGGCTAGCGTATGGGGAACGAGGAGAAGGGGAGGCGGTTAAAGGATAGAGGGGGGAAGTATGGGATTGATGGATGGATTAGGGAAAGTGAGGGGAAGGAGAGGGTTGGGGAAGGTGAGAGATGGAGTGGGGTGGTTATAGGAGAGAGAGAGAGAGAGAGAGGGTGACTCTCCAATAAAACAGTACCTGGTTACCTTGACAGAACCACCCACAACGCTCTATCCCCCCTCCCTGCCTCTCTACCCTTTCTAGCCTTCCTACTTTCTCCCTTCTCCCTCTCTCTCTCTCTCTCTCTCTATTCTCCCTGTCACCCACTCACTGTCACTCTTCTTGCCTCCTCTTTCTCTCCCCTGTTCTTCCCCCCCCTTTCACTTTCACCCTCCCCTCTTTTTCTCACCCCTGTCACCCTCCTCTCTCTCTTTGACTTTCACCCTCCCTGCCTCCCTCTCACTGTCATCTTCTTTGCCTCTCTCTCTCTCTCTCTCAACTTCCCACTCACTCTCTCAACTTCACTGGCTCCCTCTCATTGCCTCCCGCTCTGCTTTCCTCTCACTCACTTCCCCCCTTTCACACTCTGTCTTCTGTTACTGACTCACATTACAAACTGGTACTGACTCACGCCGGCTCCATTGGACTTGTAAACCAGCAGGATAACCAACTGGCCATCTAAGAAATCTTATGTTTATAGTAAGTCGGATATTCCGTCACTGTGGACAAGTGACAAAGGAAAACGGATAACCAGAATGTCGCTCTGAGAATTGTACGTATTTATAAATGTAAAGTGACTAGGATTATTTTTTTACGTAGGCGAATGAGATAATGGGTGAGAGAGAGAGAGAGAGAGAGAGAGAGAGAGAGAGAGAGAGAGAGAGAGAGAGAGAGAGAGAGAGAGAGAGAGTTTCTTCACTCTACTAACACGTCAATAACATCACACTCCTAGCAGTACACACTACACTATATACATCAACTAATACAAAGAGTTTTTTCGTGATTTACAACATCTTGAAAAAATATATTAAGGAAAATAAATCTTACCAAGAAACTAAAAAAAAAGAGAGAGAGAGAGAAAACGGCTAATTGTATGTTCTTTTAGGAAAATTGTGTTAAATGACTGAAAAGTTAATCAGAATATGTAAAAAAATAAAACACTTATTTCTAGAAAGTGATTTAGAAAAAAAATATTGAAAAATCTGTTCAAGTAACCTTCAGAAATCTTGTTTGATAAGAACTGAGTTGACAGTAAATGTTATACTGTAAAAATTATTGAACTGTATTTTATTTAAACCAAGACAAGTTTAATCCAGTAACACTCTCTAACACCTGTCAATATGTTAATGACAATAGCCACACAAAAAGACCAAACCGAATTACATTAAATGACGTAGAGATAAATTACATACAACTAACCCAACGGGTGTCAAGCATTTTATAAATAAATTCACCTAAAGATTCACCACCCTAACCTAGCCTAACCTAAACAAACCTAGCCTAACCTAACCTAACCTAACCTAACCTAACCTAACCTAACCTAACCTAACCTAACCTAACCAAACCTAGCCTAACCTAACCTAACCTAACCTAAACTAAGCTCACCCCCCCCAAATTAGTGTTAAGGTGGTTAATCTTAAGGCGAAATAAGCTGCGGTGGAGAGTCTTCATGTAATCCGAACTGATTTATAAAAAAAGGTTAAAAACTCATTAAAAATCAGCTAGATAATATAAATTAACTAAAATAAACCAGACATGACACCAGCTCCATACATCTGTTATTTAAATGTTTAATAATATTTCTAAAGACCGAAAACATTCCTTTTATTTTATGATAAAACAATACCTCACCCAAGAAGTGACTTTCACATCAAGTTGAACATAATGAACACGAGGCAGGTAGGTAGGTAGGTAGGCCTCTTGAACACGTACACTGGGGTCTCAACAGCACCAAGGTGAACTCCTGTTATCTGTTGCCATTGAACTTTATCTGTTACTCTTAACCTCGTCTTCAATTGTTCTCGTTATTAGTGAAATGTATGTTGTCCTGTTGCTCTTTATTTGTTACCTTTGAACCTTTCCTCCTCCTGTTGAACCTCTTATAGGTTCTATACTGTTGAATCTCACCCGTTAGGGCTAAATCATCTGTTACTGTTGAACCTCACCTGTTGTTTCTGAACCCCACCTGCTCACTTATCTGCTCGTTAATTATGTACGGTTGTTCACTTATTAGGTAGTTAATTCCCAGTTAGATTTTCTTTCTTCGTGGAATTGTTTCATATCTCCAATATTTTTTGCATGATGATTAATGCGAGTAACAATTGTGATACTACTACTACTACTACTACTACTACTACTATTACTTCTTTTTTTTTTGTAAAACGTGGCCTCCAGCCTCCCCCAATAGCCACACCTTCGCCACCATTTTATTACCTTAATATTAAATATCCTAATACATAAGTAGCTATCCTATCTGTGTTGAATTAGTTGAGCCGCAGATCTATGCCGCATTTAGTGACTGTAGCCTCATAGTCAATATCTGCAGCAGTTGTCGGAATTGGGGCAGAAGCTCTCGTTCCCCTGAGGCAGAGCAAAGCCGACCGCAGGAGAGAGAAAGACAGTCGACATCTCATCCAGGCTGTAACGTAACTTCTGGGCTGCTGCTTCTGTTCTGCTTCTGTTCGGAGATCACCTCTGCGAGTCTGGCGTAGAAACATCTGGCACTTGGTCCCATCCCACCAGAGGTTGTGAACACTAGAGGAGTGAAACTGCTTTGATCAACGTTTTGAATTCTCTCCCCATATGCCCTTCTCTTGTCGTTCTCGTTCCTCCTATGTGCAGCATCTAGCACTAGGTCACGGTGACTTGTGGTCATGGGATCAAAAATCCTGATGTCGAAGAAAACTCGCTGTCCCCGCTTCCAGAATCCTCGAGCACTGACGTCCACACGGGCTTCGTTAGATGTGTTTGAAGTCCTGTGTTGGAAGATCTCACCATCCAAAGGAAGGAGGGTCGGTTCTACCATGACATCCCGGCAAATTTCCTTCAACATATTTGCGGTGAGGTCCCTTACCTCGTCATGCCTCATGCATATGAAGCCCCCTTCCTTGCACACCATGGCGTGATAGCCATCATAGGAAGAGCCACACACGCATTGGGAGGGCAAACCTACTGGCCGACCGTACCTTAGAGCAATGGCATCTGTAAATTCTTGTTTATTAAGACTGAAACCATTTGCCCTTATCGGTAACGTAGTTAACCAGTTCGAGGCGCCCACCTCCTGCGCTATAGCTACTTTTTTTTTTAAATTTTCTGGTACCTGCAGCAACAGTTGCTGCAACTTATCATTTTGGCAGTGCTGTCGATCTGTCGTAGTGGACCTACGAATCATATTTACTTCACTGGTATCCACCTCCCCTGTTGCATTCTGGGCTATTATGTGGTCCGTGAGGGTTGCCGTGAGCTTAAGTGAATTTTGATGTTCGGTGGCAGCAATCGCCTCTGGATTGGTTAGTCCCATCCCTCCCAGTCTTGATGGAAGTGCAAGAAGTGCTCTTTCTGCTGGGGTTAAGTCAGGGTGTTTCACTAATTTAGGAATGAAATTGACACTGATAGCTTCTTCCAGAGGGTGGAGGAGGGGTCCGATATCAGGGATAGTACGCATCACGTAGTTCCAACGATGCTTGACTCCATGGGTTAATGCAGCTACTACTACTGCTACTACTACTACTGATAATAATGAGTACAGGACTATTATGGCAGACAGTTCTTACATCTCAGCATGACCCTGACATATACACTTTTTCTCGTCACTCTTAGATAATGTCACACTGGGTTAGTGACCACCTGACCACCACTTGAATGCCATCCCATCCATGATTTTATTATAATGAACCCGGAGGAACTTTTTAAACAAGATTCTTTGACTGAGAGACACGGATTAACAGACAGACACAAATTAACTGACAGACACAGATTCATAGACAGAGACCAATAGAAAGATGTGGATTCACAGAACAACACAGACATGGATTCACAGACACCAACAAATGTGTACAGTACGTGGTGTTGTAGTCTGCAGTAAGTGTGTACGTGTTGTTGTAGTCAGCAGTAAGTGTGTACGTGTTGTTGTAGTCAGTAGGTGCAGGTCTATCTGTGATGACCTAAATATTAAGGAGCAGCAAGAGTGAGGCACAACACCCGGGAGGTAAGAAGGACTCACTAAATATTGCCCCAGTCTCAATTTTAATAGACATGTAAGTCTTTCTCATCAGTGGAAGTCTGTAAAATTAGTTCCTTAACTGGTGGTAAATCATTTTCGTAAATTAGGTTCTGTAAATTAAGATTCTCA